GACACATTAAGAGTGAAACTGCTTGGATAGAAAGACCCATGTCTTGGGTTGATTTAATCGGTTAGTGTTTGTGGAACTGAGACTGCAGTTCTTGCACATACTAGACGTGTGCTCTGCTACCAAGCTGCCCTTTAGCATGAATTTACTGTCAAGAGGATGGGACATATGAATGGCGCCTTCATGGAGGATCTGACCTCTCCCTTGAGAACTTCAAGGATCCGAAGAACAAATACTTGTCCAGGTTGGCTTAGTTGTGCATCAGCCTGGATCCAAGAACTGGGTGCACTAATCACTGGAGCACTGACAACCCATGATGCTTGTGATGGGAAAAGAACCACAAGGAAGTGACAGACAGGGAACTGTCAAGTCCTGCCATCAGTAGATGAGCCACTATGGACTACCTCCTCTCTGTCTCTCAGCATTTACTTCATCTTGATTCTTCTAGCATTTCCATCACAGCCTATTGGCAGTCAAGCCAATGCTGTCATTTTTTAAATTGTTATGAAGTCTTTACATTGAGAAAACATGACTCAGTCTGAGAAAAACAAATTAAAGGTGAAGAAAAGTGAGGACCAAAAAAGAGTCCCATCATAGAAGATGTCTTAGTCAGGGTTTCTATTGCTGTGATTAAGAACCCTGTGGCTTGGGGAGGAAAGAACTTCTTTCATCTTACACTGCCACATCACAGTCCGTCATCCAATGAAGTCCGGGCGGGAACTCAAATGAGGAACCTGGAGGCAGGAACTGAAGCTGAAGCCTTGGAGAAACTGCCCTGCTCCTCATGACTTGCTCCGCCTGTTTTCTTAAACAACTCAGGACCACCGTCCCAGGGGTGACATTCCCCACCTGTTGGCTGGACTCTCCTCCATCAATCTTTATTCAAGAAAATGACTTGCCTGTAGGCAATCTGATGGAGGCGTTTTCTCAATTAAAGTTCCCTCTTTCCAAATAATGCTAACCTGTGTCGAGTTAAACACCCCACTTTTTTTTTTTTTTTTTTTTGGTGACTGTGACAATGATTTTTGTGTGTGATCGTTTCTGACCTGGCAGGAAAACTGAGATTTCTGTATTTAAATATTTTAGATTGTTTTGATAGGGTTTGATTTTTTTCATAAGATTATTTGTAACTCTTCATCATTTGGATTATCTGGCCTCATATGAAGTCCGTTAGAGACACACTGTACTAAATTAGCATGGCAGTTTAATTGTGGCTGGCAGTTTTCTGCCACTCTTGGGGCTGTGGCAGCTTTGGGGATATTTTTCTTACCATTTGCAGCTGAAATCTGTGCCATTAGAGCTGATATGTCTAGAGTAACAGGAGTGAATTGTATTTTTAATAATTTTTTATTCTCATTAAGAATGTCTCAAGTCAGGCTGGAGAGATGGTTCAGCAGTTAAGAATACTTGCTCCCGAGGCCAGACCCAGGTCCAGGGCAGGACAGAGATGGGACCAACCCTTCTGCCACATCCTGACATCTCTTGGAAATCAACATCTAGCATCCTAAAACAAACAAATTTAAAAAACGAAACAAAAAACCCACGATTTTCCTGTTCACATCTGGTATCTGTGCTTCACTTTAAGCACCGGTTCTCAGATTCTGAACTGTGACAGAGCAGTGCCCTCTAGATGCAAGGACTCAAAACCAGCACGCCTGCAGGGCTGCTCCCGAGGCTCGCCCTCCACCACCCTCCAGGCTCTAAGGAAAGGCTGTGAGCCTGCACACTGACGCTCTCCAGCCAGCTGCATCATTCTGGAAAGCAGTGGGATGTAGAGCAGGCCTGCAAAGGAAACCTTAGTTTCTCTGTAGCAAATCTAGTGCACGCCAGGACTCCCAGACCATTTGTTGATAAACACTTGAGTATCAGAATATTCCAAGTTCTTTTGAACAAAGAACAGATGGCGAATCTCCCCGTCCTGACCCCTCCTGCTTCAGCAGTGATAATGTCAGATCAATCCTAGCATGTTTGGGTTTTAAAGTTCTTCCGGGAATCCCACAGGGTCCTCTAGCTGGAAGGGCACCCAGGAGCTGGAAACATCGCCTCCACCCTGTTCCAATAGGAAAAACTTTATCTTCGTTCTCAGCATTTTCACAACTGCGAAATGCAAAGAACTATTTGGAGAGCCTTGCATTGTCCACTCTTGTCAAGTGGGGAACTTGTCTCTCACATCCTGCAGAAATAAGGCTCCTGCCTTTCGATAGTGCTGCTGAGTGTCCAGAGCCTCTCTTTGAGAGAAAGTCTGTGGAGATCATTTCCTTGTAAGACATGTGGAAAGATCCAGAGCTCTGTTCCCGCTGTCTCTCCAGAAACCCAGCCAGCGATGGTGGGTGACAGCCTTTCCGGTCACTCCCGCAAAGCTTCTTCAACTCCTCCCTTCCTTCTGAGTTGGAGGGCTGCACCACTCCTCCGAGGACCTCGCTTCTGGGAATGCCCTTAGCAATTCTTCCGCATCTTGTTAATTTGGTACTCCCCCAGAGCCTCGGAATGAGCAGAACCTTTTGCAGTGGTATCAGATGCCTTGAAGGATATTTGTTCTGCTCTTTGTTCTTAAAACCCCCTCCTTCTCACCTCTTTTCTCAGAGAAGAGTCTCGGTAGCCATGAACTGGCTCACAGGAACTCCACGGGCTTTTGCCATTCCTAACCAGAAGAGGAATCATGGGATAACCAATTGGTAAATGTTTCTGAAAAAAAATGGCATTTCAGTGCTGAAAATGAGTTATTCCTTCAATCAGCTATGAACTGTTTTGTGGCTGCTCTTGTTATTGTTGGGATTTTCTTTTTTAAATTTTTCTTTATTTTTGATAATTTGATATATGTATACAATGAACTATGATCATATCTACCACATCCCCTCCCCTCAAACTCTCCTTATCTCTCTCAATGTGCACCCTCCCAACTTTATATCGTATCTCTTCCCTCGATAACGCATCAGGTGCAGTTTGAGTTGTCTTATGTGTATGGATATTCACTGGAGCATGGGAAGCCTACCAGTGGCCACATCCAAAAAAGAATAACCATCCTTCCCCCAGCAACAATTTCCTGCCAACAGCTCCTCCTCAGTAAGGGTTGAGGCCTGGAAATCTATCCCTTCTGTCTATGCTGCGGGTTTGGTTGGTTTGACCTTGTACAGGCAACCACAGTTGCTGTGGCTTGGTGGGTGCAACAGCTGTATGGTTCTGGAGACAACATGTCCCAGCACTCCTCCCCATCCTACAGCTTTGAAGTCTCTCCATCTTTTCTTCTGTGCCTTTGTGGGGGTGGACACTGATTCGGGTGTCCAGTTTAAGGCTGAGCACTCAGTCCCTTGCTCTCAGTAGGTTGACCAGTTGTCTGCATCAGCTGCCGCCCACAGCAGAGTGAAGCTTCTCTAACCAATGCTGAGAACAACCCAAGTCTGATAGCGCCAGGAGCTGGAGGCATTTGAGACAGGATCTCATGTAGCCCAGGCTGGCCTCCAACTTCCTATATAGCTGATAATGACCTTCAACTCCTGATCCTCCTGCCTCTATCTCCAAAACACTGGGAACACAGGCGTGTGCCACCACTCTCCCTTGTGGTCATCATTAAGTAAGCGTCAGATATGAACAATTAAATGCCAGGCAACTTCTACCAACCTTGGAGTGACAAGCACATATTCCCTAAAGATATATCCTGGGAGGAAGCTTGGGTTACTAGGGGAAAAAAGTGATCTCTTGGCTACCTGGTCTTTCTTACCCAGAGGTAGGTTGCATAACTTTGGCTCTGGCAGGCTGTAGGTGTTAATGCAGTGTTCCAAGGGCTTAGGGGAGCCAGCGTCCAGTCTGCCCACCTCTGCTCGTTTGGAGGTGGAACTGGCATCTCCACTTGCCTCAACCAGTGCTTTACACCATGGTTTCCTGCCTTTACCTGCTTTCTCGGCTGGATTGGTCCCATCTTGCTCTCTTACATGAATTTTGATGTCCTGTGGTATACCTCTCCATGGTAGGCACTCAGTAAACTGGGATAGTTGAGTGAGCAGCTCTCTCCTTGTGTTCTTGCCTTTCTGGTGTCTGTTACAGCAGCCTGCCCTCCAATTGACTGTATGTGTTAGTCCTAGCACACCCCCCCCAGCTCCCCCACCCCTGCATTGGATGCACCTCTGCAGAAGGTGTGTGGAGAGCATTGTCTGCCACGAGGCTCCCACTCACACAACCAGGTCCCAGTGTGCAGATCCCGGCCATGGCGATGCCATCCTTCAGCTCCCGGATGCTTCCTGTCCTCAGACCCCTCTGCTTAGCCAGCAGTGTCGTTCCAATCCTCCAAATGAGTCTCCTTCCTATTGGCAAAGCCATAATTGCCAGTTTAGGTCCCTGCATCATCCAAACGAGGGCAACTGAGAAGCCAGACCTTGCCATTTTTGCTGACCTCAAGACCTTATTTTCTTTCTTCTTGTCTTGATGTCTTTGCAAATGGGAATGGGGGTGTTGAGCTCTTGTTCCTACCTAACACACCCACCCTGAGGTATGTGTGTGTGGGGTCTCACTTGTCTGATGGAACCATATATTTCTGTATCAATCAAGACACCTGCCTAATGCAGCAGCCAGGAGTAGCTCTGGGCACATACTTGGCAACTGGAGGTAAAAGGTCTGAGCAAGCCAAACTCAGTACACTGAAGGGAGGTGAGCTGCTGAGGAGGCGGGTGACTGGTGTGTTGCTATTTTTTTTTTAAAGACTGTTGGCTGCCTTCACATTTCCTGATGGAAGTGGGACAGGTCAACGGATGACCCACGGTCATAGATAACTTTTGCCCACGCGTTCTTCACTTTTGGGAGCACTGACTTGAAATTGAGGGGCGTGTGCATGCCTGTATGTGTGTGCCTGGAACCGACGTGCCTTCCGCAAGCCTAAGAAGCCTGGGCTTTTCCTTCGAAAGGCCGATTACAACACAGAGGATGTGGCAGCGTTGTTTTTCCTGTTTGATGTCATACCACTACCCTTTAAAAGTCCCGGGGCCAAAAGGAGGGAATCCAGGATCCCCACTTCAGTTCTCAGTTTCTTCCTAGGAAGAGAGGAAGGCCCGCAAAGGTCTCGGCCTGTCTGGGAGTGTCAGATTTCAAACTCAGCATTAGCCACTCAGAGAGCAGTGCGATGCTGGGGACCTGCCTCAGACTCCTGGTGGGTGCTCTGTGTGGTGCCTGCAGCTTGGGCACTGTTGGAGCCTACCCTGACACCTCCCCTCTGCTTGGTGCCAGCTGGGACGGCCTGACTCACCTGTACACGGCTACAGCCAGGAACAGCTATCACCTACAGATCCACAAGGACGGCCACGTAGATGGCACACCCCATCAGACCATCTACAGTGAGTACCGGCTCCAGGGTGGGAAGAGGGGAAGCTACCTGTTGTTGGCCTCCAGGGGTGCAGGGGAAGTCTGGAACTAGATGAGAGGGAGAACCTAGTTTCCTAGATTCTTGGTTCTTGGGTGCACGGTGTTCTCTCTCTCTCTCTCTCTCTCTCTCTCTCTCTCTCTCTCTCTGTGTGTGTGTGTGTGAGAGAGAGAGAGAGAGAGAGAGAGAGAGAGAGAGAGAGAGAGAGAGGAACCTAAGAGGAAGA